TGGTTGCCTCGCTTCTGTCAGTGTGCCCCAGGGCAGCTGTGGCTACAGTAGTAGTTTATCACCACTGTGCTAAGATAAGATAAGATAGAATCACTCAGATTTGTGCAAAAGACAGAAGTGTGAAATATGTTAAAAGTTAAAAATACAGTCTGTGATTATATAATTATGTACAATAAAAAAGTGGCAATAGCAACAGGTTTTTCAGTCCTCGTACATCAGTGACTCATTGTACAGTCTGACAGCGGTGGAATGAAAGAATAGAGAGACTTTGATCGTCCTTAATTATTATTATTATTATTATTATTAAACTTTAGAGCGTGACGTCTTAAGTGGCCTCACACCCTTCAGGCTCCGGGGAGTGTTCTGTGAAACATAATTGTTTCTTGCTTCAGACCTGACGAGGTGACAACAGATGAAATCCTCAAAGTGGAGTTTCCAGTTCGCAGGGATTTAAAAACAACTGTGACACGCAAAGAACTCCTGCTTCTTATTGAGTTATGTAACTGTGACTCTCTACGGTGAAATGTGAGAGTGAAGAGGCGTCTCCGGGAGGGTGTGTTTGAGAGAGCCGGAAGTGTGTGAGAAACCCTGCTGTAGTCTCTCTGATCTCAGTGTTAGTCATGTTTATTCATGTAGCGCCTTTCACAGACCTAGTCACACAGCACTTTACTTTTCATTGTGGCCGTTGATCTCTCGCTGTCAGACCTACTGTACATGTTGTTAGTAGTAGGGGAAACCAGATCACCCGGAGGAAACCTACGCAGACACAGCGAGAACATGCAAACTCCACACAGAGAAGTCTGGAGGTGGAATTGAACTCAGGACCTTCTTGCTGTGAAGCAAGAGTGATGGAGAGAGGTTACATAAGCCCTGTTTCCACCAGCTCTACTACACTCTACCCTACTCTATACTCTCCCCTACCTTACCCTACCTTACCCTACCCTACCCTACCCTACTCTACTCCACCCTAATCTACACTACGCTACTATACTCTAACTATTCTATTCTACTCTACTCGGCCCTACTCTACTCTACCTGGTCCTGCTCTACTCTTCTTGGTTGTGTTTCTGTTATCGTGATATCATTTGTTAGTATTATCCGTCTCATACTAAAATACAGACTGAATTAAACCCATTGTGATCTTAAAGAAGGGGCGGCAGTAGCTCAGTTGGTAGAGCATTGGCCTTAAGGCCAGAAGGTCGTTCAATTCCCACCTCTACACCTTCTCCATCGACTCCCACTGATGACTGCTGTCGTTGTGTCCTTGGGCAAGACACTTAACCCCACTTTGCCCAAAAAGCCCCCACTGAAAGATCAAGGCTATGCTCACACTCAGAGAGCAGCCGTCCTCCTGTGGACTCACCACCTGCAGAGGGTCAGTGAGGGGCTGGTGCTATGAGACTTGGGTGGCATCTCTTACTGCCACCCCCCTGACCCAGAAATGGATTAAAGGGAAGAAAATGGATGGAATGGATGGATGATCCTAAAGAGGCTATACCCTCTAAGTAGTTCATAAAAATGCTTATTACTACATACAAGTTGTTTTATAATCCGTAATTTAATGTAAAACTTGAGCTCATTGATTCAGCTGTGTATGAATACAGGCCGTAAAAAGTGCTGAGTAGAGACTTAGCGTGACGCCCGCTCTCCTCCAATCACAGAACGAGGCTGCGTCCTCTAGCTTCTACAGCGCTGCTAAACGCAGTAGCATGTTAGCATAAGTGGCTATAACTCCTCTGGCTGTAACTGCAGACTCAGCAAAACAGCCCAAACCACACAACAGTGAGGAAGAGAAGAGGAACTAAAGCAAGAAAATGATCAAAGACGACATCAAGCCCTGAACAGAGCTAGCTTACATCGTATCCTCTGGAGAGACTGGTCTATGGGAGAGACCTGCGGGACCGCCTCAGACTATCTATGCTCGGACTATCTACGCTTGGACTATCTACGCTCAGACTATCTACGCTCGGACTATCTACGCTCGGACTATCTACGCTCGGACTATATACGCTCAGACTATCTACGCTCGGACTATCTACGCTCAGACTATCTACGCTCGGACTATCTACGCTCGGACTATCTACGCTCGGACTATATACGCTCAGACTATCTACGCTCGGACTATATACGCTCAGACTATCTACGCTCGGACTATCTACGCTCAGACTATCTACGCTCGGACTATATACGCTCAGACTATCTACGCTCGGACTATCTACGCTCAGACTATCTACGCTCGGACTATCTACGCTCAGACTATCTACGCTCGGACTATCTACGCTCAGACTATCTATGCTCAGACTACTATCTATGCTCAGACTACTATCTATGCTCAGACTACTATCTATGCTCAGACTACTATCTATGCTCAGACTACTATCTATGCTCAGACTACTATCTATGCTCGGACTATCTATGCTCAGACTATCTACGCTCGGACTATCTACGCTCAGACTATCTACGCTCGGACTATCTACGCTCAGACTATCTACGCTCGGACTATCTACGCTCAGACTATCTATGCTCAGACTACTATCTATGCTCAGACTACTATCTATGCTCAGACTACTATCTATGCTCAGACTACTATCTATGATCAGACTACTATCTATGCTCAGACTACTATCTATGCTCAGACTACTATCTATGCTCGGACTATCTACGCTCAGACTACTATCTATGCTCAGACTACTATCTATGCTCGGACTACTATCTATGCTCAGACTATCTATGCTCAGACTACTATCTATGCTCAGACTACTATCTACGCTCGGACTATCTACGCTCAGACTACTATCTATGCTCGGACTACTATCTATGCTCGGACTATCTACCATACCATACCAGCTTTATTTATAAAGCACTTTAAAAACTTTACAGTTCAGCCAAAGTGCTCTACACAAAAACAAACAAATACAATAAAAATACATATATAAAAAATATTGGCCTTTGGGCCTGAAGGTCGTGGGTTCGAGACCACCGTAAGACCTACTTCACGCTGATGACTGCTGTCGCTGTGTCCTTGGGCAAGACACTTAACCCCACTTTGCCTGAAGCCCCCACTGAAACATCTAGGCTCCTGTGGACTCACCACCTGCAGGAGGATCAGTGAGGGGCTGGTGCTCTGTGTACTGGGTGCAGCTCTGACTATCCCCCCCCCACCCAACCCAGAAATGGATTCAGGGGAAGAAAATGGATGGATGGATTACCTAAAGACAAACATTATCAAAAGCAAGTGACTATCTATGCTCGGACTACATTCGGACGTGAAACTAGCGGTAATCTTTCAGTTATATTTTTTGTTAGCAGTGCTTTGCTTTTGTACCATTTCATCAGTGATTGTTGTACAGCTTACAAGAAGTTGCGCTAATGCTAATGTTAGCATATAGATTGCAAATAGATGGCTCCGTGTTATGAGAGCGTAGTGGAAATGAGAAGCCTGTGAGCGAGTTGGGGGCGGTGCTAAACATTAAAACCTTGCAGAAACGGGTATAGCTCCTTTAAACACATGAGAAAAGCGTCAGAGAAAAACCCTGTTGATTGCATAAATAAATTATCTTTTTGTCTGTATTTGCTGCTTCCTGCTGCTTCCTGCTGCTTCACACCTTCAGTTCTGTCTCCTCCTTTGTGTCACGGCTGTCTCCAGTGACACCTCCGTCCTCTGGTTTCCACCCTGATCATCAGGAGTCTGTCCCTTTGTTTGGCGTTTGGGATCCGCATGACATCATCTTCAGGAGCCACCGGTGAGTCCAGCTTTGCCCCAGGGCGAGGGAGGCGCGCACACATGCTAGCACGCAACTAGCCTTGTCCGGCGTTACATAACCCGCGCTCGTGTTGTCACCGGTGAAACGGATCCGCCGCTTTGTTCGGACGGTTTTGCTCGTTGTGCAGTTTTCTATTTCAGGCCACACCATTGTACGCAACAAAAAGATACAGCAAAGGTAGAATTTAGTGTAGGAAAACAAGCAAGAAATGTGTTTAGGGTTCTTTTTGCCTGGAATATTTTGCGCTTAAGCCATAGACTGAATACAGATGGACAACGATAACCAGCTAGCTCATTGAAGCCTAATAGGGAAGTGCTCATGAACGAAGTTTTGCTCCAACTCAACCTAAGTCAATCCCACATGTAGTAAACTCCTCTAGTTCAGTAATGTTTGTGTGACATCACAATTTTGGGATTAAATCTGTGGTTTCTCTGTCATCTCTGCTGTTAAGAAGTGACCAATAAGATGCCTTCATTCCCGGGGAAACTCCAGCTTGCCTTAGCAACCGTCTTAGCAACACGTCTGCCCTGTCACAGCACAAAGCTAACGACGTCGGAACAAATCAAAGGAAAATTGGCTCCAACTAATGTTCAAATCAGCTTCTTCTGCGTTAAGGCTAACACGGTGGTGATGTCACACTGTGGTGATGTCACACTGTGGTGATGTCACACTCTGTCAGTCCACTCCTAATATACAGTCTATAGGTGAAGCTACAGTAAAGCTGACATCGAATGGCATGCTGAAATGCTAAAATGCTAAAGTGCTAATTAAGGTCCGGCCTCCTGTATGTGTGGAGTGAGAGACAAATGAAAAAATAAAAATAAAAACGATTGCAATGCGCTTTGTGAGTCTGGTCTGTGAAAGGCGCTATAAAAATAAAGGTGACTTACATATTTACTAGATCCAGATATTCTGCTTCTTTTCTCATGAGTGATACAAGTAAAAGTAGTCACTATTAGAGTCTGGGTCCAGCTGTTTTGAGAGCAAAGAAGTACTGTAGTAGTAGTCCGTCTTTCGGATTAATAACTTTGCAATACAGTAAAAAAGAAGAAACATATATACATAAAAGTACTGTACAATCTCATCATCTGTGGTTTGATATTGAGGTACCTCGGCTTTAAATGACTATTGTGTGATTATTTATGATTGTGATGCTTCCTCTGTTGTTTTGAGGTGCCCTGAGTATAAATGGTGTTTTACAAATACTTCAAGATCCTGTTTAAAGGCCACACTGACCTCTCCTGCGTCAGTCTCGGGTCTCCCCATGGTCCCACAGTCCTCAGACCCCAGAGAGCTCACAGACGTGGACCGAGTCCTCTGGGTCTGGACCGCGTTGGGACCAGGTCTGGGTTTCCCCTTCAGTGGCCTCAGAACAGCCACCTTCATGGGGCTCAGGTGGGGTCTCTGCAGCCGAGGGTGGGCCACAGGAGGGGGGGCCACAGCGGGACGTCTGCCGTGGACCGGAGACGATCTGATCTGAGAGAAACAGGTTCAATGAAAAGTTTAGTTTAGAGGAAAACTATAAAACGTTTTTTTATTGAGTTTTACTTATATTGTATATAAACAGTAACATTTCAACATTTTACGTTTTATTGTATTGTTTTATCACCACTGTAGGGGCTGGTGCTCCCTGGACTTGGTGCAGCTCTGGCTGCCACCACCCCCCCACCCAGAAATGGATTAAGGGGAACAAAATGTATGGATGGATTGTATTGTTTTAGTATCTGCGGTCTGTCCTCTGGGGGATCCGTCTGCACTGGGAGCAATGGCTGTAGGGTCTGGCTCATGGACCTGCTGGAGGTCTGGAGCCTCCTCTGGGTCCTGTGGGGTCTGGCTCTTGGATCTGCTGGAGGTCTGGAGCCTCCTCTTGGTCCTGTGGGGTCTGGCTCTTGGACCTGCTGGAGGTCTGGAGCCTCCTCTTGGTCCTGTGGGGTCTGGCTCTTGGACCTGCTGGAGGTCTGGAGCCTCCTCTGGGTCCTGTGGGGTCTGGCTCATGGACCTGCTGGAGGTCTGGAGCCTCCTCTGGGTCCTGTGGGGTCTGGCTCTTGGACCTGCTGGAGGTCTGGAGCCTCCTCTGGGTCCTGTGGGGTCTGGCTCTTGGACCTGCTGGAGGTCTGGAGCCTCCTCTTGGTCCTCTCTGCTCCTGGATCTTCCTCTGACTTTTGTTATTGACTTAATACTAATTCTTTAAAATCAGAGAGGATTTTTACACTTACAATAATCACAGACATCTGTATTGTTGAAGTGGGAGGACTTACACAAACGAAGGCTGACTAAGTACTTTTGACCCCACTGTGTACATTCATTTAAACATTAATTTCAATTTAGGTTCAAGACATCCCCTTTAAGCTACAGTAAGAGCCAACAGATGTGTGATGACAGAACCTGTTTAGTTGAATATGTAAATGTACCTGTGCCGTTTTAGTGGGAGACGACCATGATCCCACTTTGGACTTGATGTTCCTCAGATCCAGTCTCGCGCCTCTGTTTCCTTCAGAACTCTGATGCGTCGCTATCGGTCGAGCGATGGCGTTTGCTCTGGGCTTCCCGCCTTTACTCGAGTCGTTCTGTTGGACCGACCCTGGTTTACCCGCGTTAACTGAAGCGGAAACTAAACTCGGCGTCTTCGCACTTTCCCCATCTTCCGTTCTCTTCCCCAAATCGTCGCGGCTCGTCGTGCACTCGCTGCTTTGCTCCAACACAACATTGTCATTAGCTTCTTTGCTAGCCCAGCGCGCCGCTACAATAGCCGTCAAGCTAGTTCTTTGTAGTTCCATATCCGAGCCAATGGACAAGAACATGGCTTCTTCCTCTTCGTCATCGTCGTCTTCTGGTATTTCCGTGGTGGAATCGGGAGATAGCGACCTCTTACGACTAGCGCTAGTTAAGCTATTCGTCGACAACGCTAGCGAGATGTTTTCGTTCCATATTTCTGGCGTGCACTGGCTACTGTTAGCGTCCACGTACACCGAAAGAGAATTATCGTTGGACTCCGATGTGTCCGTGACAGTTTGAACCCTCTCCACGTAAACCAGACCAGACTTTTCGCTTTCTTCCCTCTCCTCCGGCGGCCATTTTGTCACCACCACATCACCGGCGCCGTCGTTTATCGCCGTGTTCAATAAAGTTACCTCCAGCATGTCGTAATCCAAGGGGCTGTTGAGGCGACCAGGGCTGTTCAAACTGCTCAGACTGCGCAGGGACTCGGGGGAAGACTCGCCCAGACACGAGGAGGCCGAGGAGGAAGAGGAGGAGGAGATGGGGAAGGCGTTTCCGTTGTGGTCTCCGGATTTGTGCAGCGCTAGCCTCATGACGGCGCCGGTTTTGGGCCTGGATGGATGGGACTGGCTCATCTCGGGGTCTACGGTCGGCTGGAAGCAGGAGTCAGAAGGCCATGGATGTGTTGTGACGAGAAAAGTCTGCTAAAGTGGCGAGATAGAGTCGAGATGGTCCAGTCTATTTGCGCCTCGTTCCATCGTACGAAAACCTCAAGTTGGACCGATTTAATCCCAAAAAGAATCCTGCAAAAAGAAAACAGGAGAAATTAGACATTAGGTAAATACTACACATTTTGTTCCAGAGAAAAAAACTAAAATACAGTAGTATGTGTGAAGATTTACAGACAGAGCCACAGATGCTTCCAGGTCCAAACCAGGACTAAAACTGGACTTGTCTGGGTTCTTCCTCAGTACTGGGTTTACAGCCTCAGTCCTGGATCTACAGCCTCAGTCCTGGATCTACAGCCTCAGTCCTGGGTCTACAGCCTCAGTCCTGGATCTACAGCCTCAGTCCTGGATCTACAGCCTCAGTCCTGGGTCTACAGCCTCAGTCCTGGGTCTACAGCCTCAGTCCTGGGTCTACAGCCTCAGTCCGGGGTCTACAGCCTCAGTCCTGGATCTACAGCCTCAGTTCTGGGTCTACAGCCTCAGTCCTGGGTCTACAGCCACAGCCCTGGATCTACAGCCTCAGTTCTGGGTCTACAGCCTCAGTCCTGGATCTCCAGCCTCAGTCCTGGGTCTACAGCCACAGTTCTGGGTCTACAGCCTCAGTCCTGGGTCTACAGCCACAGCCCTGGATCTACTGCCTCAGTCCTGGATCTCCAGCCTCAGTCCTGGGTCTACAGCCACAGTCCTGGGTCTACAGCCACAGTTCTGGGTCTACAGCCACAGTCCTGGGTCTACAGCCACAGTCCTGGACTCAAAGGTCTGGGGGAAAAGGTGATAATCAAATCAAATTGGCTTGAACATTCTGAAGGATTTTGGGTCTATTTTTAATGCACTGTTTTTATTTTAATTTGTTTAATCCCTTTATTTTAATGTTTTAATGTATGATTACCTGTGAATTGTGTTTTAAATGGTGATTCTGATGTTTTTTTTATGTGATATGTGCCTTCAGTGACAGCATCCTGGGAATCTGCTCATTCTGAGGCTGAGATATGAGCAGTGCAGCAGCGCCCTCTGCAGCTCAGGCCTGGTACTGCAGCTTCACTTCTCAGAGAAAGCACAGAGACAGAGGAAGCTCCCGATCACATTGATGTGGGTCAGAAAGGACAAGAAAAAGCTATTTAAAAACATGAAAACCAGGACAGACGCAGACAGAGGAGAAGTGGCACACCGAGATAGTTTGTTAACGGACTCACGGACTCCAGGAAGATTAGAAACTCAGACCAGAACGAGCCAATGAGAAGTTAATAAAACCCTTAAGACTGAGTTTAAAGCCAAGGTCCCTACAGTTTGGGTTAGACCATGTTTAGTGACCAATCCCCCCAAAGTATTCTCAATTACTATTACAAAGATGGTGGACTTATACCTCATTTTGAAGTTAATTTTACCAACAAAGCAAGGCAAGTTTATTCGTATACAGCAGGGGTGGCCAACCCGCGGCACGTGAGCCGCATGCGGCTCTTTGGCTGGTTCCGTGCGGCTCTCGGGCTTTCACACGACAAGCGTCAAAAACGCCTCGGTGGTGGCGCTGCCGTTCATTCTCTATGTAGTTCTGACCCATAGTAAAGGCCGACTTCACTCCACTAGCCAGGCCACCAAAACAATCTGACGTCGGCGAACGTCAATTCTGATTGGTCAGATGCGCTGTCAATCACTCTGCAGCTGCTGCCTCAGCTGTTGCAAATATCATAACAAACATGTTGCCTCGACCCATGACGTCCGTACGGAAAACAATTCCTTAGTCGCTGGATGAGGGCAACACCTTCCTCAGTTTGAGGAGAGGACACCAGCGTGAGCTCGATGGTTCCACCAGAAACCAGAAGGTGTTTATGGAGCTAGCACTAAGGACGGAGCAGATGATTCCCACAAACATGACAATGCAGAGAAAAGTTAAAAAGCTTAAAAGTGACAACCGTGAAATGAAAGATCGCAGCAGCAGAAGTAGAGCCAGACCCGAAAAGTCTGGAGGTGGTTTGACCAAATGGATTACATTTACGGACATCGGCTAAAACCAGCTAACAACAGCTAGCGTTACACCAGGAGATAAGCCAACTCTGCCTGGTGAATGTCTGTCTTCAATCAAATGCAAAAGTATCTGGTCTTATACTGAGCATGTGTCTGTGGTTCTAAATCAGCTAAAGTGGTGTTGGTGTTATGTGTCAAATCTATATCTTTTACTAAACGCAGTCAGTGTGAATCATGGTTCGATAAAGACAGTTGTGTTTCTGCTGAACACTGGGTTGAAACTTGATTTTTTTTCTTGGTTAGAGATTGAAAGCATTCATTTCGGAATCATAATTGATGTTCGCTGACGTGAGATTGTTCTGGTATCAACTCGCCCGGTTAGAACCAGGGCCAAACCATTGATAAAAAGTACCGGGGAGCGGTTGAAGCGAGCGGTGGAAGCGCCCGCAAACCGGGGAGAGTCGAGTCCTTTAGTGCTGTACGAGTCCATTTCTGTCATTATCATGTTGATGACATTTACAATACATCTGTCTGAGCAGAGCACACCTCTCTCTGCTCAGACAGATTGCATGTGTGAGCGCGTGTCTGCTCGTGTGTGTGCGTGTGTAAGGGTTGGGGTGATGTTTATGTAGTGCACATTTGTATGATGTGGCTCTTTGCTGTAACACAGTAAAAAAAATTGGCTCTTAGGCTATATCCACACGAAGACAAAACGCTTATAATTTCAGAAACTTTTTCTGTAAACACGGAGTTAGCTCAGTAAATGTGTGCGTCCATATAAATGTAGTCAATACGCCTGAAAACGCTGTGAAACTATGCCAGACCTGTTGGTGGCGCTGTGACGCAATGACGGGATCAAGCCCAAACTTCCGTGACGGGAACTGGGCATGCGCGGAATTTTGTAAACAGACAACATGGCGAGTGGGCGAGCTGGTACTACATTAGTATGGACGGACGATGAGGTTGAACTGTTGCTTCGGGTCACACTGGATTACAAAACCAACAAGCTACATTGTTGTTGTCATTATTTTCTGAGTGCGGCGCATGCGTGCTTTAACAAGAGGCGGGGCGATGACGCAAGCGTCTCAGATACATTGCGGAGAGGCAGTAACCACGGAGCGGCATATACGGAGTTTTGAAATCTTTCCACTCTGGGACCTACTTTCAAAAATGTTCGTTTACACCCCCCCAAAACGCCGGCCTCGTATGGACGATACACTGGATTGATAAAGTATTTTTGCGTTTAGGCCTGAGCTTGACTTCGTGTGGACAGGGCCTTAGTCTCTGACTGGTTGGCCACCCCTGCTGTACAGTATACTCCGTTCATACACAAGGCAATAATCACACATTGTTTATTGTAAACATTGGACCTAAAACATAAATAGCATCAGATAAATATAAAAATAAAGAATTTGCAGATCTTTGGTCCAGATTTGGTCAGAATACTATATTTTATTTTTGAACATAATCCCTACATTCACATAGACGTATGGAAGAAAAGAAAAAGGAAAAACCAAATCAAACCATAAGAATAATAACTGATGTGTACTTATATATGAACTCTGCTTTTTTCATCCTTTATTATCCTTATGGTCAGAATACTTAAACAAATACAAATATATATGAAGTCCCCACATACGCATGAGCTCCCGCTGAGACGAGGATAACTTGTATCGGTCCCACAGTGGGGAAATTCCAGTGTTGCAGCGCACCGACAGGACAGTAGTGAGAGACACAGGGAGCACACAACACAGAGAGAAGTAGCTGCTGTTTCATGATCCAAACACAGCAACACTCTGGGCTGACACTCGATCCAGCGGGTTTTCAGTTCAAAACCATTTGATTCAGACATCACCCCAGACCTCACCCCAGACCTCACCCCAGACCTCACCCCAGACCTCACCCCAGACCTCGCTCCAGGCCTCACCCCAGACCTCGCTCCAGGCTCCCCAGACTCGAACCCAGGGACTGTCCCAGATCTCTGCCCTCAACTCTGTCAGCGCCGGAGCCGTCTCCAGCGAAGCCTGAAAAAAGTCTCTTCAATTGCTTCTATCTCTATATTTCGTCCATTTCTCGTCTGTTTAGAACCGTTTCTTGTTCATTTCTCCTCCACATCTCGTCAACGTTTCATGCTCTATATCTACTCTAACTTTAAAAACTTGTTTGCACCAAGAGCCAAAAGCAAATTCCTCGTTTGTGACTTCCTGTTACTTATTGCAAGCAGGAAAAAAGTCCCTGTACTCCTCAGAGTCCCAGCAGGAGGCCAGTCCCTGTGCTCCTCAGAGTCCCAGCAGGAGGCCAGTCCCTGTGCTCCTCAGAGTCCCAGCAGGAGGCCAGTCCCTGTGCTCCTCAGAGTCCCAGCAGGAGGCCAGTCCCTGTGCTCCTCAGAGTCCCAGCAGGAGGCCAGTCCCTGTGCTCCTCAGAGTCCCAGCAGAAGGCCAGTCCCTGTGCTCCTCAGAGTCCCAGCAGGAGGCCAGTCCCTGTGCTCCTCAGAGTCCCAGCAGGAGGCCAGTCCCTGTGCTCCTCAGAGTCCCAGCAGAAGGCCAGTCCCTGTGCTCCTCAGAGTCCCAGCAGGAGGCCAGTCCCTGTGCTCCTCAGAGTCCCAGCAGGAGGCCAGTCCCTGTGCTCCTCAGAGTCCCAGCAGAAGGCCAGTCCCTGTGCTCCTCAGAGTCCCAGCAGGAGGCCAGTCCCTGTGCTCCTCAGAGTCCCAGCAGGAGGCCAGTCCCTGTGCTCCTCAGAGTCCCAGCAGGAGGCCAGTCCCTGTGCTCCTCAGAGTCCCAGCAGGAGGCTAGTCCCTGTGCTCCTCAGAGTCCCAGCAGGAGGCCAGTCCCTGTGCTCCTCAGAGTCCCAGCAGGAGGCCAGTCCCTGTGCTCCTCAGAGTCCCAGCAGGAGGCCAGTCCCTGTGCTCCTCAGAGTCCCAGCAGGAGGCCAGTCCCTGTGCTCCT